AAATTTCCCTTTTTTTTTTTTTTTTTTTTTTTTCCTTTTTTTTTTTTTTTTTTTTTTTTTTTAATTTTTTTTTTTTTTTTTTTAAATTTTTTTAATGTGAATGGGTGATATTTACATCAGTACATTTTTTCTTATGAATTTTCAGCTGTCCTGTGCAAATAATATTTGGCTTTGTTTCCTGTTACTCAATTCTCTGTTGATTTCATCAAGCTTGTGATGCATGGACACACCTACTAAGGTGGGATGTCTGTATTTGGCACCTATTGTGTCGTGTCCGACACCAATTCTCCTCGGACACTCCATGTCGTGGATCCAACAAGCCACATGCCTTGTACTATTATTTTATTTATTTTTTAAAATTTCTAATGCTCGAGGGATACTTTAGAAACATTCTTTGGGCAAGTGTTTGACATGCATGTGCCTTGTCTAATATTAAAAAACATAAAAATATAAGGTTAAGATATATAAATTTTAAATTTTAAAGAATTTGAATTGACATGTCAGTGTCCTGCTTTTTGGAGAAAATCGTGGGTTGCCGTGTCCATGTCCTTGCAACTTAGCTTCAAGCCCTGTCACATCAGTTTGTATGTTAGATGACTATAAGTGGTCAGAGTTTGGATAAAGTCCTGATATATCAGTTTCATGTCTGCATGTGGGTTTCTGTTCTTTCCTTCTGCATTGATCTGATTTAAAGTGTTCTCTAAAAGATGTTTCTGTTGCAGTCTTCATGGACTTGTTCTCTAGCTACTTTTGCATGTCAATCATGCGTGAGAGGCTAAAGTATCACAAGTTCTTAAATTTTATGCATCCATTTCTGTTGAAATCATCTGGCTCTGGGTTGTAATGTCTTTGAATGCCGTTTTGTTTATATATGAAATTGGAAGCTTATAAAGTGGTGGAAGTGGGGAAACAATATGATGATGATGTTGAATTATGATATTAACTACGACAGTGTGCACTGTATCCTTTATTGGTTCATATGAAGAAATGATAAAGATGTCTATTAATGACTCAAGTTTAAAGTTTTACTGACATCCTGTCCAAGCTTGGTTAATTATTTTTAAGTTTGTATTACAAATTGCCATGCGTGTTAAGAAAGTTGAAAATACTTCCCAGTGGTTGTCCCCACGAAATAGGGAATCTGGGTTTTTCTTTTTCATCCTTGTTGGCATTAGTATTTGCTTATTTTTTGTCCTCCAAGTTTCGTTGATGCATTTCCTTAATTTCATTTTCTACTTGCCACATTTAATATTTCATTGGCATCAGAATTGCTCTCCCTTTACTGAAAACTGACTAATGAGTGATTTGTAACTAATAAGTAATAGAATTATTGACAGTAAACTTTGTATTATACCACTGTAAGATGATTTTGTCTCATACTAGATTTGAAGTTTCACTGATCTGGCCAAGCTAATCTTCAGAATAGCATCTCTGATATTTATTTTGTGTATGTCTAGGGTGACCTTCGTGAATTTTTGAAAATAAGAGGAGCACTTAAACCTGTAACAGCTCTCAGATTTGCTATGGATATTGCCAGGTTCAAGACTTGTTCCTAAAGTTGTTATAATTCTAGATGCTTTATTATCTTTTTGTTAGTTCGTTGTAATATATTATTGTTTCACAGACAAAGTAGTTTTGGTTATCTTATCATACTAGAAGATATTCGGCCGTGTTCAGATGCAGAGTCCAGATTTATGGCTTCTTTTTCTTCTTCCGCTTTTCCCTCTTTTCTTTTATTCACCATTTCTTAAATTTCTATGCAATTTATTTTTCCTAACAAATTTAGGATGAAGAATATTGCTAGGAATTTGAAAATTTTAAAAGCAATTTTATTTTATGAAGAATGTTTCACCATCATCTTTCTAAATAAATGGAGCAGTTACATGGTGAAACTCAAATAAGAGTAGAAGATATAGTTCAATTGATGAGTAGGTTAAAAATAAATTGGAAATGATTAATTTACCTCAAAGGAAAGCATATGTGAAGAAATTTGAGGAAATATCCCCATACATGGAGGCAATAGTTTGCACTGGGACTGACTGGTCAACTGCCTTCATTGCTGACTGATCTTTCTATGTTCCAAGATGAATTTCCCTGTAACTAATGTACACACTTTCTAACAATATATTTGGATTCTCAGGGGAATGAATTATTTACATGAAAATAAGCCTGAAGCAATTATTCACCAAGATCTGGAACCCTCGTAAGTCTTTCTGTTGCTATTGAAATTTCACTTTGTAAATATAGATAGTTGCGTCTTCTAAATCCTAGAATGAAATTTAAGTACGACATTCATCCTTTTTAAATTTCTTAAAATAGTTTTTCTCGTGTTTGAGTAAGACAACAGAAATATTTTGCGGGACGATTCTAGACATCTGAAAGTTGCAGACTTTGGAGTGAGCAAGTTACTTAAAGCGGCCAACAGAATTAAAGAAGATAAACCGCTTACCTTTCACGACACATCTCGTGAGTCTGCTGCTCTTAAGAGTTTTATTTGAAAACCGCTCTTAAGAGATTTTTATTTTGCTTCCCAGAGAGTAGCCGGGATTAAAATTAGATTTTTTAGCAGATTATGATAGAAGTTTTTGAAATGTGTGGTTGAAAAGTTGTAGGACCCATGAAAGAAGTGGTTAATACTGATTGTTTGACTTTGACTTAGATTACAATCAGACTTTTTTAATCCAAACCAAACAGGCACCCAGTGGATAAATTACTAATTATTCAAATAACTTTCTGTCAATTGAACAGGCCGATATATGGCTCCTGAGCTTTTCAGAAATGAAGATTATGACACCAAAGTGGATGTTTTCTCATTTGCTTTGATCTTACAAGAGGTACTGGAACCCTAATGTTTAAGGGTCTGTGATTTGAGAATGATAAAAAGGTCGTGTTTGTTCATCTGGAAAGTCAGAAGAAATTTTGTTACTTATTTTGGCTTTTGATTTCACAAGCTTCTTTAACTAGTTTATTGATATCAGAACATATTTTAGACTCTAGAAAAAATTATCTGCGGAGTACATTTAGTGCTTCTTGTTAAGCAGGCTTCTTAAATTGATTTTTGTAATGTGCTAAACCTTAGATGATTGAAGGCTTCCAACCGTTCTATGTAAAGCCAGAAAATGAAGTACCTAAATTATTTGCTGCAAAAGAGCGTCCTCCATTTAGAGCCTCTGCGAAGGTTTATGCCCATGGACTTAAAGAGTAAGTAACTTGTTTTCCTCGATGCTTATGAGTCCTGCATAATATTCTTTTGTAGCCTAACTGAAGCAAGATCTTTTGTGTATTGTAGTTGAAAATTATGATATACGGATTTAAAATCTTTATCTTTTTAAGGATAAAATATTTGTGAAATCTCTCTGCAGCTAATTTGCTAAAATATTGTTTCACCAGAAAATTTTTGACTTCTTACTGAGACGCTTTGAGCTTACATAATAATCTATTTCAGTCATTACTCCCTTTTGTTCTTCATTACAGGTTGATCGAAGAGTGTTGGAGTGAGAAACCAGCTGACAGGCCGACATTCAAGCAAATAATTCCTAGACTGGAGGCAATCTATAATAGCTTTAGCCATAAAAGGCGTTGGAAGGTTTCTCTCTCTCTCTCTCAACCCCCCCCCCCCTTCTCTTCCTTTCAGCGTACAAATAGGTAGTTTTAGCCCCATTTTTAGAGAAGAATGAATTTTTGAATAGTGTATTGATGAAAAATATATGGTTAAAAAATAAGGAAAAGTTTTGGATTTGCGTGTAATATTATTTTATTGAAGAATGTGTGGTTGAAATGATGTCAAAACACTATTGAAAAATGCATTTTTCCAAAAGAATGAGACTCGAACAAGGGCTTAATATCATCTAGAGTATTGCAGATAATATTATGGTTATGACAGATAAATAGTAACATTAATGTTAAAGGCATTTTAGATGGTTTTCTCCGTTGCCATGTACAGGTTAGACCATTAAAGTGCTTTCAGAATTTGGACTGGAAGAAAGATATGTCCAATTTAGGTAGCCGGAGTCGTTCATCCAGATCCACAGGAAGCATATAAACTATTCCAGTAAACCTGCTGAAGTGCAGATGGTTACCTTTTCCAACACAGTGCTGAACATTTTTATTGTTTTTGTATTTTATATGATACTGTTTGTAGGATCAAAAACACCTTTTCCATTCCATCCTTCCTCACAGCCCTCCATCCTGGGCTTAGAACAAGTGAATAGTTACTGTAATGTAGTGGTATTGTGAATGTGTATAATACTTAACCCTTTGATTAACCTTGCTGCTGGATTTTGTACATGTATTTACAAGTCGACGTGGGAATGATATCCTAAGCTTGTCTTTATTAATTTAAATGAAGAAAAGTATGATTATTATCGGCGTTTTAATATCCATGTTGCCTTTTCTTCTTATGCATTCTGGATTAATTATTCTGGTCTGAGCTTCTAATTGTTTCCTAATCTCCATCCATTGTTGTGAAAAAGTGAATCATCCATGTTGGAGACTTGAAAGTAATTTTAGTTTTTAAGCATAGCCAAACATAATGGCATTTAGCAAAAAGAGTAAACCAGTACTATGATTCATTCAGTCCATACCTAATCCAAAGATGATAGTCTGATGCTTTAACATCACAATGAATGGAAGGTAGTTAAGTGGGTACGTTGTGGGAAGTTGGAGTGGGGTGGTGTGGGTGGGTGGCATTGATGTTCTGCAAACCTCAACATCAAAAGTCCAGAAAAGCAGCAGGATTGCCATTTGTGGTCCCTTTTTCGTGGAAAAGAATATAGGTTCTCATAAGACTTTAGGGTATGTACTTTTCTCTCTTTCCCAATGGATCCCTTGTTATACAAATATAATCTATGAAATAAATCATTGTTTTTTTAACTTTCTGGATTTCCTCCTATTTTCATCGCTATCTTTAACCATTGGAGATGCTTGGTGGATTAAAATCATGGTTTTGAGAATCGCATGTCGTTAAATTGGACTTTGCCGTTTGTACATTGATTTTTTACACTTTGGTTGACACTTGCATTATTATCAAGTGTCAATTGAATGAAAAAATTATTTGAAATTTAAATTGTGCACCTGAATAATGTCACATAGCAAATTGTAAATAAAAGTGTACACTAAAATTTACATGTAGCAAGGTTCAAATTGACAAAATTGCACATGATGAAATGCGGAGCAAGAAGAGCCAAGAAGTGAATTTCAACAATCTCAAGTGAGAAAGTACAAAACCCAAGTCGCTGTCACTGTGGTCCAAGAAATAGATATTGGAAGATTTTCTTGTTATGGCCTTGAGGACTTTTGAGAATTGGAGTTTTTCAATTACCACAACCTTTAAAATGATTCATGTGACTTCTCTTGCCTAATTCAATGTGAGGTGTGTGATATCGTCACCATTTAACATGCAAAGTATTTTATTCAACGACAAATAATATGATCTATCAATTGATGACGATATTATATTCGACCCAATCGGATCTACTTAATTATGTGATTTGACAAAACAGGTCATCATAATGTTATAAGATTGGTCATTATCTCTTTGGAGCCACTAAGCTTTGCCAAGCTTGAGGAACATAGATTGGTCGAGCCAGTTCTCTTCCCTTCGTGAAATTTTGTGGGATTTCCGTTTAGACGAAAAATCTTTTACGCATTTTACTCTAATCATGTTTTACAATGTTGACGAGATGTCCAAAAAACTTTAAAAAAAAAAAGAAGGCGTCATTATAATTCACAAACAATCTTGCTATTTGTACAATGTATTTTACGACTTAGTTGACAATGCATAAGTTGGCAAACATCAAATTCATCTATTTGAAAAATTGTTTTTAAATCAATGGCCAAAATTTTTCCAACACATTTGTTGTCAATCAAATTGTGTAAATACATTGTACAAGTGGCTTTATTCATTCACAGAAGACTAAGGGTCCATTTAGTATGGCTTTTGAAAAGTCAAAATGAGTTTTTTAGACACAAAAGCTACTTTTGAATTCATTTTGACTAATTTTATGAAAATGTTTCTTCTAATTAGAAAAGTTCTTAAAGAAAATTAGTCCAAACATAACTTTCTCTAAAAGCACTTCTAGAATAAAATGTTCTTTTAAAAAAAATAATTTTTAAATAAAAATTAAGGTAGCTTTCTGAAAAAGTTTTTCTACAATAAGCAAAAGCAAAAAAATAAAAATAAAAATCATATCAAATGCATCCTAAGAACACATTGGAAATCAATTGTAGTGTACTCCTAATATCATTCGAAACACAAGTAAAAACCACAATAATTGATTATACTTTCTAAAGTTGTTTGTAATTGAACGCTTTAGAAACAATAATGGAGTAGATAAAAAGTCACACTAACATTGATGCTCATGGTGCATGGTGCACCTCTCGAAGTTATCGCTTGTTAAAAAGGGATTTTCGAAAGAGTAACATACCCTACAATATAGCTTGTTAGATAAAAGAAACAAATAGAATGTTACTGCGTGTTTTTATGGTGTTACATGGGCATCTTCTATTTTTTTCATTTGATTTGATTTTTATTTTGGTTGGTGGGGTTTAAATTAGAAGTCAGATGCTAAGGGTAAGAGAGGACACAGCACATGTAGGGCTATGGCCCCTTTATGAATTGTTTGGTATCAAACTTTGTCATCTATCAATAATATGGTTCTTCAATGCCCCACTAACTTATCCAGTCATAATTTGATCATTCATGAAAAAATTATAATCTACTTTTCTTTTAGAAAAGTTCAGTTTTTTTTTCATCCTAATATTAAAAGAATCTGGATACAAAGTCTTATTCAAGTAGTCGACGAAGTTGAATCTCGTTTATTTATAGAGTTAGGCGGGATTCCTAGATTGGTTATATTTTACTTTTCGTTTAATCTCTAGTTTATAATGACTTGAGTTAATGTTTCGTACACCGTATTAGATTGCATGTCAGGATTATTAGGAATTTTGTATTAAGTTGATCAGTGAATATTGTTCCAATATGAAATATTATATTACAAGACCTTATAATTAGTGAAAGTTTAACAAATTAATTAGATGTTTTACTTCTTATTTACTTGTACATGAAATCGATTACTTGTAAGAGAATTTTTAATTATAAATACTGTTTACGTATAAGTTTATTTTTATCCTATAAGTTAAATTTTTTTTTTCTTATAAGTAGATTTTATATAGACTTATATTTTTTTACTTATAAATAATTTTTTTAACATATAAGTGATTTGTTACTTAAAAGTGAAATTTTACTTGTACATAAATTTTTAATTATAAGTGAATTTTATATTTATATGTCATTTTTTTTTACATAAAAGTGAATTTTTACTTATATAGCAAATTTTTAGGTTTAAGTAGTAGTTTTTACTTACCAGTTCAGTGCAATATTTTATTATTATTATTATTTTTTGTCCCCTTGAATCCGTCCTTGGTCTTATGTGTCCAATCTCATTTTCGCTTTGCTCTTTCAAGCATTTGCGTTTTATAGCACGAGGTTGATTATGGGCTATTGGTCGTGTCAATTTTTCGTGTAATGAGAATAAGGTGATCTATACATTCGATTTAGTTGTTGCGTTATATGGTTTATCAAAAAATTAGGTTTATCGTATTCTTTATTTTCTATCATCCACATTTCATCGCAATATTCATTAGCCAAATTATTTGATTTTGTTTTCTAAAAATCCTTAAACGTTATAAAGGGAAAGCAAGGTTAATAATTGAAAATGACAGAGTTTTTAATTTTCAAAATATTTAATTATAATATTCATAAACAATTTGTCATATAGCAACGTCAAGCATGTGTCTCTTGGTGGGCATGGAAGAATGACATATGCATATCCTCAATGACAAGGCAATGGGAAAAAGGTAAACACTTATTAATCCCATTGCTAGGTCAGGTCAGATCATGACCTAAGGGAGGGTCTATGTCAAAATTAACAATGGAACAAAATCTTTTTACATTTTATTGTAGATTAAATGAATCTTTTTAGTCTATTTTGTTTGATTTACTTGTTATTTCTGTTCAAAGACTTAAATAACACTCATCGACGGCCATTTATTACGGTGAAATTATTGTAAATCTTGTTCGATTTTCCTTATTTTCATATTTTAATTTTTGTGGATATTCGATTTATGCCCTTCACTAAACTTCTATGCGTCTTGTTTTCTCTTAATTAATTGGTAGGAGTTTGTGTCAAATATTTTACCGATTAGATGAATTTTATTAGAAAAAACTAAAAGAAACATATTAGACCAAACGAATGAAGATGGATTGGCAAATATGCCCATGGAGGAACCCAATCAATTAAACAAACACTAATGGCCTTGGACTAAAGAAATATGCTGTGTGTACAATGCTGTATTTGTTCAGCACTCTTGCAATCGTGGGGCCTACAATTATTTTAATCGTAGGCTCCACCTCTTGTATGTGAGAGGGCTGTCAACTATGTCGTCAAAATGACTGTACTTGTAGCATTGACTAAAACAACAAGTTACTGCTCAAAATGCCAATTATATCCGTAGATAATTTTCAACTTCCAGTAGAAACGAAATATGTAACTGGATGTCACATGGCAGGGCTTTGTCATATACTTCATTTATGTGAAAGCAGAGAGCTACACATTGGATAGGTAGGGACAATAAAATAATACAAAGAAGATATCATATTTTTCATCTAATATCTTATTTTTGTCCAAATGTATCTAACTATGTCAATAGGTTATGTGTCACAAATTTGATTCGGCAAATGTTAATACAAGAAATTGGAAAATTCTATGTCCCGTGGGGGCTTAGAGTCGGCTTGTCTTGGACTTGTGGACCAAATATTTTTATGAGCGTTGTGCCAAGTGGTTGTTGCTGGTCGAATATGAAATGCCACGCGGAGGCACTACAATAATACGTGTGGAATGCATGGATGAGCTGTAAATCAGTAATTCAATTGAGGCTCTTAAGGGGGTCAGCGGAGGTGCCTCCAAAGCTTAGCCGAGGTGCTTACAAAACCCAAGCTGAGACTCTCCAAAAGATAAGCCAAGGTGCCTTCAAAGATGGCCGAAGTGCCTGCCTACGTTCCTTCAAGGATGTCCACCAAAGCTCAAGAAGTCCATGCCTCAAACCGAGGCTCAAGAGGTCCTTAAGCTGAAACCCTGAGTAAGTGGCCGAGGCCATAAACGAAGCACTGTGTAAGTGGTCAACGGTTGGAGTTGTTGCACTGAACTCCGAGGTCGTTTTACTAGAATTCTCCAAAGATGTTCTAACATAGTTCATCCGAAGTGGGTTGACATCTTTTTGTCGAACCCCTTGGCACCAAGGTCCTTGATGCCCAGAGGGTTTGACGAGCGTATCTTAGGAACTGATTGATATGACCTTTGTAATTAGTATAAATATC